TTTAGGTAGGGATGATTTTAAGAAAATTTTAATTGACACACAGCTTCGAATATTTGGCTTTTAATTTGGTTTTATGGGGGTTTTTTGTTCTTTGATGTATTTTGTTTGTCTGTTTTAATATGCTGTGCACCGCCCTGAGTCCTACGGGAGAAGGGCGGTATATAAATTAAATTATTAAATTAAATTAAATTAAATTAAGGAGGAGGAGGAGGAGGAGAAGGAGGAGGAGGAGGAGGAAGAGGAGGAAGAGAAGGAAGAGGAAGAGGAAGAGGAGAAGGAGGAAGTGGAGGAAGAGGAGGAGAGGGAGAAGGAAGAGGAGAAGTGGAGGAGGAAAAGGAGGAGGAAGAGAAGGAGGAGGAGGAGGAAGAGGAGAAGGAGGAGGAGAGGGAGGAGGAGGAAGACGAGGAAGAGGAGGAGAAGAAGAGGAGGAGGAGAAGGAGGAGGAGGAAGAGGAGGAGAGGGAGGAGGAGAAGGAGGAGGAGAAGGAGGAGGAGGAAGAGGAGGAGAGGGAGGAGAGGGAGGAGAAGGAGGAGGAGGAAGAGAAGGAGCAGAAGGAGGAGGAAGAAGAGGAAAAGAGGAGGAAGAAAAGGAGGAGGAAGAGGAGGAGAAGGACAGGAGGAGGAGGAGGAAGAGGAGAGGAAGAGGAGGAGAGGGAGGAGAGGGAAGAGAAGGAGGAGGAGGAAGAGGAGGAGAAGGAAGAGAAGGAGGAGGAGGAAGAGGAAAAGGAGGAAGAAAAGGAGGAGGAAGAGGAGGAAGAGGAGGAAGAGGAGGAAGGTATGCAATAGTAGAGGAAGACCTCAAGAGGCAGATGTGACCCAACGTGTTCTGCTGCTCAAGAAGCGAGAGTCATTTGGCGTCTCAGACCTTCACTCTCCTCTATCAAGGGGAAAAGGGCAACGCGAGGAGAAAGGCCTCTTGGAGAAGCAGAAACAGAAGGGGGGGGGCTTTCAAAGTTATTTTTGTCCCTCCAGATGTTGGCCTTGGCCTTCTCCGACTAAGCCAAGGTGCGGAATTGCAGTACAGATAGTCCTTGACTTTCAACCATTCAGCTAGTTCTGGCAAAGTTACAATGGCACTGAAAAAAGCATTAGCAATAGCAATACCGCTTAGGACTTATATACCGCTTCACAGTGCTTTACGGCCCTCTCTGAGCGGTTTACAGAACCAGCCTGTTGTTCCCAACAATCTGGGTCCTCATTTTACCGACCTCAGAAGGACGGAAGGCTGAGTCGACCTTGAGCCAGTCAGGATCGAACTGCTGAAAGTGGGCAGAGTCAGCCTGCAATACCGCATTCTAACCACTGCACCACCATGAGAAGGAAGGAAGGAAGGAAGGAGAAAAGGGAGGGAGAGAAAGAAGGAAAGGAAGGAAGCAATAGCAATACCAGCTAGACTTATATGCCGCTTCACAGAGCTTTTACGGCCCTCTCTAAGCAGTTTACAGAGTCAGCATATTTGCCGCCAACAATCTGGGTCCTCATTTTACCGACCACGGAAGGATGGAAGTCAACATGACCATTTTGACCGTGGCAGCCTCCCCACGGTCACGTGATCAAAATCCAGACGCTTGGCAACTGACTCATATTTATGACGGTTGCAGTGTCCCCGGGGTCACGTGCTCCCTTTTTGCAACCTCCTTCCAAGCAAAGTCAATGGGGAAGGCGGATTCACTTAACAACCGTGTTACTCACTTAACAACTGCAGTGATTCACTTAACAACTGCACCAAGAAAGGTCAAAAAACAGGGCAAAATTCACCTAACGCCTGTCTCGCTTAGTAACAGAAACCTCGGCCTCAGCTGCGGTTGTAAGCCGAGGACTGCCTGTATTCCAGCTGACTGCCGACTGTGATGACAACCGTTTCTTTTTTTTCCCCTTTCTTTTTCTTTTTTCATGTTCCAACGTGGTCTTCTTCTCAACGGGCAGCTGTTTCGGAGGCTGGAGGGAAGAGCGAGCAGGCCATTCCGTGCGCCGTCAACATTTCGCTCTTTCATCGGGCGGCACAAGCCGTCTGCCTGACGCAGGCGGGCTCTTGCGCCGTCCGCGCTGCGAATCAGGCCGCAACGCAAACAGGCTGTTGACGTGGAGCCCCACGCCGTCAGCTCCCGAGAGAGCCGAGAGGTAAACAGATGCTCCTGCCATTCCAGCAAAGACGAGGAGGCAGATGTTCCCGGTCACCCCCTCGAAAAAAACGCACGGGCCCAACATATTGTGTCTCCTTCCCGATGACAGCACGCATTAGCCACTTCCCTAATTGAGGAGCGGAGGCGAAGGGCCCTGTCCCCTTTGTCACATGGACGATCTGCCGGATCACACTTCCATCTGGAAAAACAGACAAAACCCTGCGGGCTTTTCAGCTGAAAGCGAGTGGCGGATGGCGACCCTCGTTTGTTGTGAGTGTGGAGGAGATGCGGGGGGGGGGGCTTAACAAAAGGCAGGCGTTCCCCAACAGCCCTCCCTGAGCTGGCCTAGGACTCCCGATGGGAATCCTTTTGGGAAAAGGAAGGGAGGTTCCAGTAGGAATCCAGTAGGTCCACATCAATGCCGCAGGAACACGATGCACATCCGAACAATCTAAGTCCAGGGATGGCGAACCTTTTAGAGACCGAGGGCCCAAACTGCAACCCAAAACCCACTTATGCATCTTCGAGTGCCGGGTGGGTGTGGCCCATTGGGTGGGCATGGCCCATTGGGTGGGTGTGGCCCATTGGCTGGCCGTGGCTACGGTGGTAACAGCAGACTGGGTGGGACTAAAACGTTCAGTCAATTCCAACTTTGCAAGATCTTGTTTTTTCCGTGAGAAGTTGAAATTGACTGATTGATTGAACTTTTTTTTTTTTTTGCACACGGGTGCGGAGGCCTAAAACGAAAAGGTTTTATAAAACCCAGCTGAAGGCCTAGGACTGGGGCGATGGCATGCGTGCCCACAGAGAGGGCTCTGAGTGCCGCCTCTGGCACCCGTGTCATAGGTTCGCCACCACGGGTATAGGTTCTCCTGCTTGAGCACGGGGCTGGACTAGAAGACCTCCAACATCCCTTCCAGTTCTATTCTATTCTATTCTATTCTATTCTATTCTATTCTATTCTATTCTATTCTATTCTATTCTATATAATAGAGGGCTCTGAGTGCCGCCTCTGGCACCCGTGCCATAGGTCCGCCACCACTGATCTAAGTCTAACGTGGACATCGGTCTCTGGAGATTCTCAACCATCCAGATGATGATTGTCCCAAAGGTGCTTTCCCCCCCCCCCCCAAAAGGCAACTGGACTCTCTTGTTATTTTTCTCATCCAAGGAGATTCTTCAGTTCTTCTTCCGAAGAACTTCTCACCTTTTCTGCTTTCCCAGGACCGACACATCTTTTTATTGTTATTGTTATTTTACTGTATTTATTATATTTATATAATTAATACATTTATTATACTATTTAATAATAACAACAATAATAATAATAATAATAATAATAATAATAATAATAATAATAATAATAATAATAATAATAAAAGTTGGAAGGGACCTTGGAGGTCATCTAGTCCAACCTCCTGCTCAGGCAGGAAACCCTATACCATTTGATGTTATTGTTTTATTATTTTATTTATTTTATCTTATTATAAGGTAAATAAGATAAAGGAGACTGGAGGCTTAATCATATAAAGAACGGCTGCTGGAATTGGGTATGTCTAGTTTAACGAAGAGAAGGACCAGGGGGGACATGATAGCAGCGTTCCAGTATCTCAGGGGCTGCCCCAAAGAAGAGGGAGTCAAGCTATTCTCCAAAGCACCTGAAGGCAGGACAAGAAGCAACAGATGGAAACTCATCAAGGAGAAAAGCAACCTAGAACTAACCAGTGGAACGACTGGCCTCCAGAGGTTGTGGGGGCTCCAACACGGGACGTTTCTAAGAAGAGACTGGACAACCGTTTGTCTGAAACGGCATAGGGTTTCCTGCCTGAGCAGGGGGTTGGACTTGAAGACCACTAAGGTCCCTTCCAACTCTGTTATTCTGTGGCTTTGTTGTTCTATTATTTTGCTTCTGTTTTGCTGATACTCTTTTTTATTTCTTCCTTTTTAACGGATATGAGCCGCCCGGAGTAGCCCCATGGCGGGACAGGCGGCAAATAAATTTATCAAATAAATCAATACTTCTTTTTTCCAAGGGTTTTGCAGTACCTGAGACAGCCACTCCTCATCTTCTTGTCCACTGTGATCGGAAGCTAAGCTGTCGTAGGAATCGTGGCGGGTAATCGGTCCTGGACTCCCCAGCGGAACCACTGTGGGGGGGGAGAAGAGAAACAAGGCAAGAACGAAATCAAACACAGCGAAGAGAAAGTCAAAAAGCACATTACAGGTGGTCCTCCCTTTACGACCACAACTCACCCCGAAATTTATGTCGCTAAGTGAGACGTTTGTTAAGTGACCTTTGCCCCGTTTTACGATCTTCTTGCCGCAGTTGTTAAGTGAATCACTGCAGTTGTTCAGTTAATAACACGGTTGTTAGGTGAATCTGGCTTTCCCACTGACTTTGCTCGTAAGAAGGACGCAAAAGGGGATCATGTGATCCCCGGGGACACCGCGACCGTCATCAATATGAACCAGTGGCCAAACATCTTTATTTTGATCGCGTGGGGGAATACTGCAAGGGTCATAAGTGTGAAAAACTGTCATGAGTGCCTTTTTTTCTGTGCTGTTTTAATTTCGGTTACTAAATGAAATGTTATAAGTCAAGGACTACCTGTGCATTTAATTTTTTTTATGTTGCTTGACAGGCGGTCCTTGACTTATGGCCAGAATTGAGCCCAACATTTCTGTTGCTAAGCAAGACAGTTTGGTGAGGTTTGCCCCCTTTTACAATCTTTCTTCCCACAGTTGTTAAGTGAATCACCTACAGTCGTTAAGTTAGTAACGCGGTTGTTAAGTGAATCCAGCTTCCCCCCCATTGACTTTGCTTGCCAGAAGGTCGCAAAAGTGGATCACGTGACCCCGGGACACTGCAACCGTCGTAAGTACATGCCAGTTGCCAAGCGTTTGAATTTTGATCATGTGACAACTGGGGAGGCTGCAATGGTCGTGTGACAAACAATCGTAAGACATTTTTATTACAGTGTTGTTGCAACTTCGGAAGGTCAGTAAATGAATGATTGTTAGTCAAGGACTATCTGCAGTAGGTGGACCGCCTCTGGGCTCCAAGCGGAGAAAGTTAAGATTCTGATGACCATCAAAACAGATCCAGCATATCTGAAATTTCCTCAAGCCTCTTAGCAATGAAATATGTCAGAAAAACTGCCTTCAGAAGAGGTTTAGGGAATAGAGTAGAGTAGAGAAGAGTAGAGTAGAGTAGAGTAGAAATGGAAATGAAAATAGAATAGAATAGAATAGAATAGAATAGAATAGAATAGAATAGAATAGAATAGAATAGAATAAAAACAGGAAGAAGAATAGAATAGAATAGAATAGAATAGAATAGAATAGAATAGAATAGAACAGAATAGAAACAGGAAGAAGAATAGAATAGAGTAGAGTAGAGTAGAATAGAGTAGAGTAGAGTAGAGTATAGAATAGAATAGAATAGAATAGAATAGAATAGAATAGAATAGAAACAGGAAGAAGAATAGAATAGAGTAGAGTAGAGTAGAGTAGAATAGAGTAGAGTAGAGTAGAGAATAGAATAGAATAGAATAGAATAGAATAGAATAGAATAGAATAGAAACAGGAAGAATAGAATAGAATAGAATAGAATAGAATAGACCTTGGAGGTCTTCTACTGCAGCCCCCCGCTCGAGCAGGAGAACCTATACCAGTGGTTCTCAACCTTTTTAATGCCGCGATCCCCAACCGGTCGTAAGTCGAGGACTAAACCGGTCGTAAGTCGAGGACTAAACCGGTCGTAAGTCGAGGACTACCCAACCGGTCGTAAGTTGAGGACTTTACCTGCGCGGGAGCGCCGTGCATGCGTGGTTCCGCCCCCTCGCCGGCCGAGGCAAAGCTGGCAAGCGGCAGAGACGGAGCAGGCCGACCACCAGCTGGCCCAGCCCAAGGGAGATAAGGCACCCGCCGGAAAAGGGGGAAAAAATGGCGGACAGCCTTGCTTGGCGACCCCCGTGAAATGGTCGATCAACCCCAAATGGGGTTGCGACCCATAGGTTGAGAACCGCTGACCTATATCATTTCAGACAGGTGGCTATCCAGTCTCTTCTTAAAGACCTCCAGTGATGGAGCGCCCACGATTTCTGGTGGCAAGCTGTTCCACGGGTTAATTGTCCTCACTGTCAGGAAGTTTCTCCTTAATTCCAGGTTGCTTCTCTCTTTAATCAGTTTCCAACCATTGTTTCTTGTCCTGCCCTCTGGTGCTTTGGAGAATAACTTGACCCCCTCTTCTTTGGGGCAGACCCTCAGATACTGGACCCCTGCTATCATGTCATCCCCATTTCTTCTTTTCCTTAGACTAGCCAAGCCCAAGGCCCGCAGCCGTTCTTCATATGTTTTAGTCTCCAGGCCTTGGATCCCCTTAGCTGCTCTTCTCTGAACTTTTTCCAAGGTCTCAACATCTTTTTTTGTAATACGGTGACCAAAATTGGTTGCAGTTTTCCAGGTGTGGTCTCACTAGGGTTTTATAAAGAGGAGCACTTGGTGCAAACATCTCACTGAAAATTCACTTCTTACGTTCGCATTTAGATTATTCCCCTTGGAACTGTGGGGCAGTGAGTGACGAGCAGGGGGAGGATTCCACCAGGATTATCGCAGGCATGGAGAAAAGATACCAAGGGAAAATGGGAATCCATCCATGCTTGCCGATTACTGCTGGAATCCCCCTAGGGATGATCCTACTGCAGTTCACAAGAGAAAAGGCAAAAAGCGCAGTTTGTTGTTGTTGTTGTTGTTAGTTGCGAAGTCATGTCCGACCCATCGCGACCCCATCGTAACGTTCCTCCAGGCCTTCCTGTCCTCTGCAATCTTCTGGAGACCATTTAAGTTCACACCTCCTGCTTCAGTGACTCCATCCAGCCACCTCATTATTCTCTGTCGTCCCCTTCTTCTCTGGCCCTCCATCTTTCCCAGCATCAGGCTCTTCTCCAGTGAGTCCTTCCTTCTCATTAGGTGGCCAAAGTACTTGAGTTTCAACTTCAGGATCTGGCCTTCTAAAGAGCAGTCGGGGTTGATCTCCTCTAGGGCTGACCGGTTGGATCGCCTTGCGGTCCAGGGGACTCACAGGAGTCTTCTCCAGCACCAGAGTTCAAAGGCCTCCATTCTTTGGCGTTTAGCCTTTCTTATGGTCCAACTTTCACAGTCTTTAAGGGGTGCTCCAAGGAAATCGGACCATCCCCTTCATCCAGCCACTTCATTCTCTGTCGTCCCCTTCTTCTATTGCCCTCAATCTTTCTCAGCATTAGGCTCTTCTCCAGTGAGTCCTTCCTTCCTCATTAGGTGGCCAAAGCGCAGTTTAGATACCAAATAAAGATGGAGCCTTGTCGGTTATTATCTGACGCTAGAGCTTTCATGCAAAAAGCACGAAAACGTCACGTGAAAAACCCACAGAAAGTCACGTGATTGGCATCAATAAAAACATACATTTATAATGATTGGTGTGGCACCCTTCTCGTTGCTATATAATCACATTTTGCAGAAAGGTTATAGAGCAGACATGTCAAACACAAGGCCCGGGCGCCGGATGCGGCTTACGAAGTGGTTTCATGTGGCCCCCGAAGCCATCCTGGAAACAGTGAGGGAACAGCCCCCGCTGCCTTGGCCCTGGCCCAGGCCAGCCGGGAGCCAATGTACAATTTTGTGGTGGCCATCTATGCTGAAACGCACTCAGACTTAGGTCTACAAGGCCGTCTGGAAACAGCGAGGAAACAGCCCTTACCGTGTCGGCCCTACCCCCTGTGTGCATGCTGGGGAGGTGTCACCCTTTGTGAGGAATGAAGAAATGCACCATCGCCTGGAAGTGGCCAGCAAATGGCCCTCGCCTACTTCACATATCTGGCTTGGGGTTTCAGCAGGCTCTTCCAGTGGACCATGCCTTGGCGCTTGCCCTGGTCCCACCCGCTTTTGCCAGAGACCCTCAGATCTGTCCCACTCCTGCCCAGGCCCCCACAGGCACCCTTGACGCGAACGATGTAGAGCTGACCACGTCCACCCAGTAGGCCACACCCACTCCATCCACGCCCACCCAGTAGGCCGCACCCACCTGGCCCCCCAAGGGCAACCGCAATGCTGAAGCGGCCCTCAATGAAATTGAGTTTGACACCCCTGTTATAGAGCGTAACCGCACATCCCCCTCCTAATTTGGAATTATTTTGATGCCATTTTGACCTGAAGCTGTACCTTGGAAACTAGAGCCAATGAATACGCAGGATGTCGTTTTCCTTTATGAAGGACCCAGTTCCGGTAAAAATTGAGCTACCGTACTTTCATTTCCCAGGCCTTCTCCTTGTAGACCAGTGTGATTGTACAAGGTCACTGCATCCTTGGCAAGTCCTGTGACTTTGCATTCTTTGCAGCCTTTTTCCCTCTTTTGTTTTAATAATAATAATAATAAAGTTGGAAGGAACCTTGGAGGTCATCGAGTCCAACCCCCTGCTCAGGCAGGAACCCTACTACCATTTCGGACAAATGGCTGTCCAGTCTCTTCTTAAAAACTTCCAGTGTTGGAGCATTCACCGCTTCTGGAGGTAGGCTGTTCCACTGGTTAATTGTTCTAACTGTCAGGAAGTTTCTCCTTAGTTCTAGGTTGCTTCTCTCCTTGATTAGTTTCCATCCATTGCTTCTTGTCCTGCCTTCAGGCACCTTGGAGAATAGCTTGACTCCCTCGTCTTTGTGGCAGCCCCTGAGATAACTGGAAGGCTGCTATCCTGTCCCCCCTCGTCCTTCTCTTCATTAAACTAGACATACCCAATTCCAGCAACCGTTCTTTGTATGTTTTAGCCTCCAGTTCCCTAATCATCTTTGTTGCTCTTCTCTGTACTCTTTCTAGAGTCTCAGCATCTTTTTTACATCACGGTGACCAAAACTGGATGCAATATTCCAAGTGTGGCCTTACTAAGGCCTTGTAAAGTGGTATTAATACTTCACATGATCTTGATTCTATCCCTCTGTTAATGCAGCCCAGCACTGTGTTGGCTTTTTTGGCAGCTGCAGCACATTGCTGGCTCATATTTAAGGGATTGTCCACTAGGACAACCTCTCCACTTCACCAGATGCAAAGCGCCAGCCGAAGGACCGGAACAAAACCGCTCATCGGAAACCATTAGGCTCCAGAACCATAAGCTTCAAG